TGCTGGGAGATGGGTCTGGGGCAGGCGGGTGCCTCCTGCCTGGCCTCAGCCTCACAGGAACGCCTGGGCCTCAGGTGGAGTGAGGACGCCTTGGATGCAGCTTCTCAGCTAGGCTCTTGGACCCAGCAGGGAAAAGAGGGGGATTTCTTCAGGGAGGGGCTTTTTCAGAATTGGCAGGGACTTTCAGGACCTTGGCTGCCTACCTCAGTGAAGTCTGAGGGGAGTTCCTGGAAGGCATTTCCATCTGTCCATGTGTTCTCAGTCAGTGGACAATTAAGTCCAGAAACCTCCGTAAAGAGCAGTCACCTCCAGGATCCCTGGGGCTACAGAGAGCTTTGGGGATTTGGGGGGGCTGGCTCCTCAGGTGCGCAGGAAGGAAGGTGCCCTGGGGCAGACCCAGCTGCCCGCAGGGACCTCCAGGGTGCCGTTGTCTACTCCTGTCTCCACTCACTTACTGGCGGAGCTGGGACAAGTCCCCAAACCTGTGTGTGTGTGTGTGTGTGTGTGTGTGTGTGTGTGTGTGTGTGTGTGTGTGTGTGTGTGTGTGTGTGTGTGTGTGTGTGTGTGTGTGGTGTGTGTGTGCCCTCTGATTCACAACATGAAAACAAGTGAATAGAATAAATCATTTATTCCCAGGGTAGGTTCTTGGGGTAGCAGTGCCAAGCTCGGGTGAGAATCTCCACCCCTTGGATTTAGGAGCTGGTGCCCTGGTGCGAGGGCTCTCCTCCAAGCTGAGTGTCCTCCTCTGTCAGGCACAGAACATGTGTAGCACAGGGCTGGTGCCCAGGCCCCTCCCCAGCCTGGCTCAGTGGCTCACCCTCTGGGGGCCTACACTCAGGCCACCTGGGCTTCCTGTCATTGCTTCTCAACCCTGCCCTCGTCCCAGCCAGAGGTAGAGGTAGAGTCGCATCCCTGCTCTTCTGCCTGTCAATTCCTAGCGGCAGCTCAGCTCCCGCATCCAAATCCCCATCCTCACTCTTCTTACTCTGTGGAGTCCCACGTGGGCCATTGTATTACAATAGACTCACCCTCCTACCTCCTTTGCTACCTCTGTCACAGGGAGGGGAGGGGCTGGGTTCTTATTTGTGTTTTTGGGTTGAGTTTTCCTGAGAGCTCTGCTAGTCTCACAGCCTCTCAAGTCTTTTCTGGGCATCCTGCCTGTCCCTGACAAGGGTCTGTCTCTTGTCTCTTAAGTTACTAGGGGCCCAGAGAGACTAGATTCCGATGAGGAATCCAAGACTGGGTCCACATCAATGAGAAGGAAGCCAGGACTGATTAGCAATGTCTGTCAAGGGGGCAGGGTGGGAGGAGGTGGCATGTGTGTCGTCCAGGTGACACCCTTAGTAATGGGTACTTGCTTTGGAAAAACTGTAGAGGAGCCCAGAGGACTTCAAAAGGACTCTACAGCCAGCAGGCAAGAGGTCTTCTGGATGGGAAGAAGGGGACAGAGTCCCTCTGGAAGGACAACGTGCCGGGGGGAGCGCTGCTGTGCCAGGCCTTCTCATGCCTCGGTGTGATCTCACACCTGAGATGAGTGTGAGACACTCACACATGAGTGTTGCGGGACAACATTCATTCACTGAGTACTTACTGAGCAACTGCTGTATACCAGGCACAGTGCTAAGTGGGATAAAGGCCCTAAAGATGCTGTTGGTATAGAGCCAGGAGGCTGGGCCTCGTCTCAGGTGGGTAGAGGGAAGCTGTTTGTGACTGTGGGCTTGTGAGTCTTTCTGCCTCCACTTTTTCATTCACTCTTCCTTATAACAAGCCTCCTGAGGCTCAAAGAAGTGCAGTGATCTGCTCAAGGTCACACAGCACCTTGAGACCTCAGGCCTCTGCTCCTCTCAGAACCACCCTTCCTATTGTGGGGCTGTCAAGAGAATAGTCTTTGCTGCTGCTTCTTTGGGCAAGTCCATTTTCCATCTGCGCCTCAGTTGCCCCATCTGTAAAATGGACCCTATGATATCTACTGGGTTAGCAAGTGGATATAGGAGAAAGCAATTTGGTATTTTGAAAATACCAAATGTGTCTTATTAATTAATATTAGCCATAATTCAGGGGAGATTTATTCACATTTAACAATCCAGGCATTCAGGGAAGTCTCTCACCCTAAAAGAGACAAAATCAGGGAGTGTGGCCTTCTGTGGGCCAAGCGATCCCTGTGCGGCCCAGTCCGGAAGCCTCACTGCTGGGTTCTGGACCTGCTGGATGTTCCGGGGAGAAGGGTTGTCCCAGCTTAAGGTCATGGAGTCAAGACCTTTTGTTTGTCTTTGGCCTTTCTAGTCCATTTGAGGAAGTCACCGTTTTAAACCCCTGCCAGCTCTGCTGAGTAGGGGAAAGGCCCTGGCAAGAGTGCATGACGTCAGGGGAAGTTTGGGGAAAATCTCTAAGCATATGAACATTGAGAATTGAAAGTCTGATCAGTCATTTAAAAGTTTCGGACTTTTGCTGTGGCTCAGGCCCCAGCTATACCTGAGGACCCGGAAATGAGCCGCCCTCTATTCAGCCTGGGAACGTGTGTGGGAAGATGCTACAAATCAGGACCCTGTCAGGGGTGGGGAGGGTCTCTTGAACGTACTTTGGGCACAAAAAGTTAAAAAAAAAAACTCTCAGAGGTCTTGAATGACAGAAATATGCCAGTTGGCCATCAGACAGTGAGGCCATTCCCAGTAGGCGAAACAGCCCAAGGAAAGACCTGGTAGACAGTGGAAGCCTGGAGTGACTTTCTAGAAGCCCTAAGGAGTGCAGCTTGGCTGGAGTGTGTCCTGCTCTAGGCAGTGGGGAGGGGACAAGATGGGGGTGGGGGTGGGTCTGGCTTAGTGACCTCGGATCTGTTCAGAGTGATTGGTCTTGATTCACTTTGGGGAACCAGCCCAGAAACAGGAATCCTTATTTCATGGTTCCAAGTGCCCCTTAAAGGTAGTGCTTGTTGTTTTGACAACTGGCTTCTGAGCAGACAAACCCTGCCTTCACCCAAACAGAAGAATCCCAGGCGCAGCCACAAGTCCCCAGAGGAAACCCACTCTAACGAGGTGTCTAACCCAGTTTGCTGACTCACATGGTTTTGGGAGCCCGTGGAGTGCATTGGGAGGGAGGGGATGGGGACGCCGCACTGTCGAAGGAGGTTCCGTTGAAGCTGCCTGTTTGACACACAACACCGGATGGAGAAACCGTTTAGCTGGTATTTTCCCAGTATGGCAGTTCTGGAGCCCAGAGGTGTTTGTTTCTGCCTCTCCCAGCACTTAGCTGGAATGCTAAGAAGGGGCGGAGTCAGGGTCATGTTGGTCGAAGAAGGGCATGAAATGAAAGATGGCTGATCTTTCTCGAGCATGGAGTATCCTGTTTCTCCTGAGAGTAAATCCAATTGTGTATTTGAGGCACTTCTTTGTACTTTCCTTGTGTAATTTGAGATGGCCCATTTTACAGATGATGCAACTGAGGCCCCCAGGGAGAAGTGACATTCCTAGGTCACACTTGCAGCTGGTAAGGGATGCAGTGTTAGGTTCCAACTAAAATCTTCTAGGTAATGCAGCATAGGTGAAGGGTGGAACTAGGCAAAGCTTATTTGGGAAACAGAGTCCCGCAGGAGCTGCCTGCACTGGTAATACAGAGCCCAAGCAGCAGAGGCAGGGAGGGCCCCTCCTCCCCACTCACATTGTGGGGAGGAATTATGTAGAACTCGGCCATCTAGGGGTCAGAAAGAACTGCTTGACCAAATAAATAGATGGGTCAATTAAAAAGGACGGATTTCTTGGATATATATAGTTGTGGCCTAAATCTCAGGTATCCTTGCCCCCAAGGAGTAAAGGGAGCCGTTTTCAGAGGGCACAGGCTATGGACAGAATAAGCTGATTACATCCTGGGGATGGATGCTTTGCAGGAGTGAGAGGAAGCTCCAAGGAGGTGAGGGGTGGGTGGGGGACTCAGGGGGTAGAGAGGGAGCAAGGCAACAATTGCATTTCCCAAATGATGCGGGTTGGGAGACCACCCTTGGATTCTGCTCCTTCCCCTCATCAATTTATTTGAGATTAGTCACACCCCTGGATATCAGCCACCTACTTGCTCAGGCCAGTCTGAATTCAAATGACTAAACATTTCTTCCCTAGCCTTCGGGGTCAGTATTTAGAAATCACAGCCAGTATGCAGAACTCTCACCAATTATGAGTATAATTAAATGGGAAGATCTGTGCAAGCACTAAGCACTGGGCCTCGCATAGCCAGGGCTGTTAGCGGCTGCTCCTGTGATTGAGACCAGCTGCCACCCGGCTGGTGAAGACACTTTTGATCTGGGCTGATTCAGGAGACCTGGATTCTAATTCTTGAGTTAATTTGAAAGTAATTCCCCTGCCTCTAGCGGTTTCAGTTTCCCGGTGTCAGGTTGAAGGGGAGAGACTTCCTGGTGTCAAAGGTCACAACCAGGCAGTGCCCCAGAGCCCAGTGGTTAGGGATCCAGACTCCAGTCAGCCACTTCCTGGCTGTGCAATCTTGGTCCAGTCGCTTATTGACTCTGAGCCTTAGTTCCTCATCTCCATTTGGGGTAAGTCCCACTCCCCACCGCCCCCCGCCGCTGCATCTCGTAGGGTGGCTGGTTAAGTATTGAGTAAAACAATGCGTCCACATGCTGATTCCTGAACCTCTCGCGCAAGCACACAGCACAGGGAGCTGGGATTGCCCACAGGGTTGGAGGATTTTGCATACATTTAACGCATTTCGAGTGTGCTTTTAAGCCCCATTAGACGAAGATGCTACAAAGGCTCACTACTTTTGGACTAATTAAGAGAAAAGTAAGCCGCTGTAATCAGTGAAACATGATTTAATGAAAGAAAAAAATATTTAGCATGATTAAAACATTTCTATTAGCTACAATTCTGTAAAGTGCCATCACAGTGCCAGACACACTATGTCAGCTGCAATTATTATTATTTCAGCTGTACAGGTGGAATTAGGAGACCCAAGGGTTGCTATGACAATAAGCTGAGCCCCTCCTCATCCCTACCTAGGAGGAGACCTGGCCCCACCCAGAGCTTCCTGTGGTCTTAGTGGGGAAGAAGAAACTTCTGGACCGGCTTCCCAGGGGTGGCTGCACCTGCGGACTGAAGATGAGCAGGAATGTGTCTTCCAGGGCCTAGGAACGGTAGGGCCTCCCAGAGACAGCATGGAGGTGGGGAGCTCTGTGATAAAGGAACCCCTCTCTGGTGTTAGTTCTTTTAACACCACGGAGCGTCCTTATGTGGTGTATTTGCCTGGAAAACACAGCCTCCTGGCACCTAGCGCTGTGCTGGAAGGGGCATTGTGACCTCCTGCTCAGATACTCTGAGGCACAGAGGCTGAGCGCTGGGTGTCTTCCACACTCTCTCTGGCTGCTTCTGTGCCTCAGTCTCCCCTGCCTCCAGTGAGTAAGTGGTGTTTGCTTGTCCACTCATCGTGTCCCCTTCTGCTCACAGAGCCTCTGCCCCTTTCCAGAACCACTCTGGGCTCCCTGCTGTGATCACACCCTGTGTGGTTGCCGGCAGCTGTGGTCACCTGAGAAATGGGGTTCAGTGGGATCTGCCCGCAGGGGGAGTGTGCAGGGGGCCAGTGTGGGAGCTCTTTGGTCATACTTAATTCCTGGCAATCTGGGTGGCCCTATCAGAGCCCCAGTGGGACAAAGGTCTTCCCCAGAGGCCCGCAGCTTGGAGGACGGCATGGCTTCTCTCACTGAGGATACTTGCCCAGGTTGCCCCTGCAGACCATCAATGAGAGCCTCTTTTTTCCCACCTCAGCCCAAATCCTTGCCGGAAGCAGCCTCTCAGTACCTGAGCTGACCCAGGGTGGGTCACCAGGTGGACAGGGTTGGTGGAACCCTCCCTTGGAGCCACGAACCTCCATGGGGTTTGGGGCTCTGTGTTTTCTAGGCCTGGGAGAGAGCTCCCCAAATCAGTAGGGAGCCCTGCTGGTCCTAGGACATCCAGGCAGCAGGGGAGGGAACTGGAGGTGTAGATCAGACCTTGGACATGGGAGACCAAGGCTCTCATCCAGACTCAAGCAGCCCTTCTCCACTTGGACCTCAGTTTCCCCACCTGTGCAATGGCGGCATTAGGCCAAATGATAGTGTTGAATTTCACAAGCTACTCCAAGTTCAAAAACAAAATTTGGATTGAGAGGTGGAGTGGCCTGCCCTTGGGCTGGCACACTTTTTATTTGACCACCATATGGGGATTTTTTTTAAGTGACCAACTGCTCTCACCATGATATAAAAGGGGAAACCACATACCAAAAAATAATAAGACCCCCAAAAGTGTAAGGCTGTAATGTTAGAAGGCAGGGACATGTCATACTGTAGGCTAGGGAAGTCTTCATTCCAGAGTGTCACAGCCCACAGGCTGGCCTTGGGCAGCCACAGAGTAGAAGCCCTTTGGGAAGATCTAAGAGCCAACCACAAGAATTGCGGCTGTCCTGAGTCCTGCTACAGGCAGGCAGCGCTTCCAGATTAGCCCCAGCCTGAGGAGCTATTCCCCTTCACGTGTGGAGTTTTAAATGTACACTTCTCTGGGCACCCAGCCCGACCTGAGCAATTAACTTGGTGTGATCGCCATCCACCCTGTGAGGTCGATGCCATTATCAGCCATGTTATAGGTGAGTAAACCAAGGCACAGACCATATGCTGCCCAGGGTTGCAGAGCTGGGGTTTGAGCCTTGTCAGCCTGGCTTCAGAGCTGCCTGGCTAGCCCCACCTACTTTCCAGGCTTCCATCTCCTTACTGTATGTGAACTTGGCATTAAGCTGTTGGACTGGGCGGGGCATGGGCTCACACCTGTAATCCCAGCACTTTGGGAGGCTGAGGAGAGTGGATTACGAAGTAAGGAGTTCAAGACTAGCCTTGACAAGATGTTGAAACCCTGTCCCTACTAAAAATATAAAAATCAGCCAGGCATTGTGGCAGGTGCCTGTAATCCCAGCTTCTCGGGAGGCTGAGGCAGGAGAATTGCTTGAATCCTGGGGGTGGAGGTTGCAGAGAGCTGAGATTGCACCACTGCACTCCAGCCTGGGCGACAGAGACTCCTTCTCAAAAAAAGAAAAAATGAAGTTGTTGGACTGATCTGTCACTCAATGATGCCTAAGTGAGGTGTCCCCAGTGCCCAAGGACCTCAGCCAGGAGCTGTGGTGTTTCAAAGTTGCCACATCGAGGGGTCCCAGTGTCTGATTTCTGCAGTAGCAGCCATCCTGGGGGCCACCAGCGGGGTAACATTCCTTTCCTGAAGGTTTTCTCTCCAGCTGCCCAAGGTGTCCGTGGTAACCAGCAGATAGAGAGAAACTTCCTGGCCACCCTGCTCCAATGAGCTGCCCTGCTGTTCCCTCCTGTGGATTGTTGGGGCCGCTCTGCAGGTCTACAGCAAAATCCTTTTCTACTCTCAAGTCCAGTTCCCAGCCCTTGTAACTTCCATCTGCCCAGCTTAGCAGGTGCCACCATCCCAAGGGCCAGACGGGTACCCAGTACTTTCCATGGGGAACTGCAGGCGCTGGTCTGGTCCCCCACTCCTGCACTCTGCTTTCTGCCCTGAGATGCTCCCCTAAATGCATCCTAGAGGCTAGGAAGGAAGGTGACAGCAGGTTTTCACATCTGTGCTCAGATCCCCAGGGAGCCACCAACCTAGGGGACCCACGTTGCTCAGTCAGCAAGAATATTGATGGGGACCCCAGGATTCTCCAGTCACACCCACTGCAGAAGAGGAGGGTGGACCCTGAGAAGCCTGGGGAGAGACAGTTGGAATAGAAAGGAAGGGGCAGCTAGGAAGAGGCCCAGGTGTTAGGATGATACCCCGAATCTCAGAACCGGTTGGCTGGTGTTTGAGGCCTGGTCTTGGCTCCGTGAGACAATCTGTAAAGCACTTGGTGGGCATGGCGCCCAGGAGATGCTCAGCAGGGCCTCAGCTCAGAGTCCATGCTGCCCGGCATTTTAGCTGAATGCTGGTCAATTTTGTCATCATCCTGATGGCGTGAATTTTCTAAGTGCCTGTCATAGGCCAGGCACTATCCTAAGCAGTCTGTATACATTTGGTTCTTTAATCTCTCAGCAACCTCACAGCCTAGGTACTGTTATTACCCCCATTCTATATTTGAGGAAACTGAAGCACAGACAGGTTTATTTATGGTGTGCAACTTTCTCTCCTGGAGAGGGTCCCTTCACCCAGAGAAGGGCTGTGTGTGTAGGTGTGTGGGAGGGACAGTGGGGACCCTGCACCTCCACGCTGCTAAGTCTCCTGAGAGCAGGTCTAAACCACAATCCAGAACGGAGCAAACCTCACCTTGGTCAAGCAGTGTCACCAGTGCCTCCAGTGGCCTTTCCTGCCATTGGTCCCTATGCCTGGGGAGGTGATGTTTAAGGGACAGGTGTTTCTGCTCTTGGGGAAGCCTCACCTGCTGCCTCCACTGGAGAAAGAAAGTGACCTCTCTCTGCTGGGGCGACAGCAAGAGGCGCTCCTGAGTCCCAGGCGGTGCATCTTGCAGCTCATTCCTGTCCTTGGAGACACTGCCTGGGGCCTGCCCGGCTGATCTGTGCCCCTTACCTGCTGCAGAGACAAGGCCAGGCTTCTTTTTCCCTCTGCACCCCCCAGCCCCAGGAGTCGGGGTTGATCCCCAAGGCTTCTCCCCCCAGGATCAAACATGCAGGCCCCACTCAGCTGTCCAGCCCCAGAAGCCCGAGGTCACCCCTGCCAGCCTTTGCCTTGGTTTCTCAAACTGCCTTTCTCTTTAGCAAGTGGCTAAAGGTGCGTTGGCTTTGTCTTGGGCCTGCATCTGGGTTCTGCCGCTTGCTACGGAGCAACCTTGGCCAGGTCATGTCTCCTCTGAGCCTCGTTTTCCTTATTTGTATTTTTAGTAGAGACAGGATTTCACCATGTTGTCCAGGAGGGTCTCGATCTCTTGACCTCGTGATCCACCCACTTTGGCCTCCCAAAGTGCTGGGATTACAGGCCTGAGCCACCATCATGCCCAGCCTGTTTTCCTTATTTATAAAATGAGGGCCAAGGTTCCCATCTGCCAGGGCCTGGTGAGGAGCAGCAGCAGTAGGGAATAAGAGACCCTCTGGCAAACTCTCAAGTCCAGGACAAATGGCTCTTGGGGTGATTCTGGACTTAGTGGGGCTGCAGAAGTGAAACTCAGCCTGGCGCAGCCCCTAGATGCTCACAGCCTGACAGATGAGACGTCTGCGCACACACGCATCACATGCATGCACTCTCATCAGCCAGCCTTAATCTCTTTCCTGAGCTGATTTTGTTTGATGTTTTGCCCAAGTGTCTCCCAGTTCATTAGCACCACCATTCCCAACCTCACCTGATTTTAAGACTCACTTGGGAAGCTGGTTAAACAAGATGGATTTGTGGGCCCCCACCTTGAAAATTCAGTCAATAGTCTGCAAGGGTCCAGGTGTCTGCATTTTTAGCCAGTATCTCAGGCAGCTCTGCTGGTCCCCATGTGAGGATTTTGGTCATCCACTGGTCCCTCCTAAGATCCCAGAGACTTCAGCAATGAATGACTTTACAGATTATAAGTCCCATTTACAGGTCAAGAAACTGAAGTTTCCCAAGGAGAAATTTGAACTCTATCCACAGTTGCTCAGTTCTGAATGAGAGTCCAGTGTCTGCTGGATGGAGGGGGTGATTCGAGCTGGAGGATGTTAGACAGAAGAGTCTTGGGTGGGCAGGAAGGGCTTTTGCGGGGTGGTGACACTTGGGTCAGGGTCTTCAAGCTGGGCGGGATCTACCTAAATGGAAGAGAACCCACAGACTTGAAAGGGGCAGTGCCAGGGAGACTAATGCTGGGCAAAAGGAGAAATAAGGTGGCAGAGATTGGGAGCAGGACAGGCAACTCTAGTGAGCGTGAGATTCCAAGAGGAGAAGTTTAGGTTGTTATCCAGGCAGCTGGGAGTCACTGATAGTTCTTGAGCTGGGGGCTGACATGGGAGGCTTTTGGGGTTTGCTAGAGACAAACCTGGCTAAGCAGGTGGGAGCAGAGGTCAGGGCATGCCTCCAAGGAGTTTCCAGGGGTTTCCAAGAGGCCACAGCACAAGTGACAGGCCACCAGAAGGTATACCATGTCCCCAGCACTCCCAGAGCTTAGGCAAAAGTCCAGTGGAAGGTTGAGGGAGATGGCTCC